GGTCGCAGAAAGCTCCCTAATTCACCCCCTTAGAAGTATTAGATGGTGATGGGATAAAGTGGCTTCCCCAAGGACCCAAATCCTGAGATTTAGGGTTAGCATGAAAGCCCAGCCATATTTTCTTGGTTTTCAATTCTTTGTTCTGGCAGTCCCAGTTCAAAGATCATTCTCTTGAAAAGAAGACATGCAAAATAATGGTTATATTGTTTTGCTTTCTCATAAACAACTGATTTTTCTCTGATAAAAATGATAAGCCTGGGGTTTTAGAACCACAGACCCTAGGTCAATTTCTGAGGTTCTACCACACTGAGTATTTACCTTAAACAAGCTACTGAGCTCCCTGACCTTTAGCTTCCTTGTCTCTAAAATGGGTATGATATCACCTACCATCACTAAGTAACAAATGATTTAATTTATAGAAAAAATTAAAATATTCTGAGTATTAAATATGATTTATTTCATGGAAAGTAGTGGGTATAGTCCTTGGTGACAGTGAGAACTCCTTCCTTGGCAATAGCTTAGAGCAATGATTCTCATTCCTGATTGGGCATCAGAGTCACTAGTGAAATTTCAGAAAAATTCAAGAACAAACAAACAAAAATCCAAAACCCATAAAGGAAGTGACTGAAAATATTAATTACATTAGAATTTTAAAGTTCAGTATGACAAATGATACCATAAACCCAAGCAGAATAAAGAGACTAGGAGAAAATATTTGTCATCCACACAATGGTATTCAGATTACAAAAAATTGTCAAGAAATCAGTAAGAACAAGATAAAATTGCAGCAGAAAAAATCTAAATCTGAATGGACAAGTCACAATTTACAAAAGAATAAAATCTAAGGTCATGTAATATGAAAAGACACCCCATCATCTCACTCATAATCAGGGAAATGAAAATTAAAACAATAAATTACCACATCTCACCTACTCTATTGTCCAAGATGAAAAAGCAATAGTAAGCAAATAACCTTAAAAATATAGAGAAATGGGTGTTCCCACAGTAAACTAATGTTAGCATAAATTGTTACAAGACATTTGGAGGACAACTTAAGTTTCTTTTAGAACTAAAAATGTTGGGGAACCTGGGTGGCTCAGTCGGTTAGGCATCCGACTCTTTTTTTTTTTTTTTGAGAGAGAGAAAGAGAGAGAGCATGAGAGGGAATAGGGTCAGAGGGAGAAGCAGACTCCCCGCTGAGCGGGGAGCCTGATGCGGGACTCGATCCTGGGACTCCCGGATCATGACCTGAGCCGAAGGCAGTCGCTTAACCAACTGAGCCACCCAGGCGCCCAGGTATCTGACTTGATTTCAGCTCAAGTCATAATCTCAGGGTCGTGGAATCAAACCTCATGTTGGGCTCTGCACTGAGCATGGAACCTGCTTGGGATTCTCTCTCTTCCTCTGTCCCTCCCCTCCCACCCTTGTGCTCTCTCTTAATTAAATTAAATTAAATTAAATTAAATTAAATTAAATTAAATTAAAATAAATTACAATGTTCATCCCTAGGACCAGCAATTGAAATTCTAGGTACCTACCCTAGAGAAATATTTGCACATTGCATACCAAAAAAATAAGAGGAAAGAACAGAGTACTGCAGAATTGCCTGTGGCTTCAGAAAATAGGAAACAATATGGATGCCCAAAATAGGGGGGTTGATAAATAAAACATGGTATATGCAAATTAAGAACTACTCTTCAGAAGTTATTAACTTGATCTGTATGTATCAACATTTATATATCTCAAAAACACTGTATTCAGAAAAAAAGTACATAGCAATTGTTCCTGAACACTTCATGTGTAACTAACTACTCTGAGGGTTTTACCTGCATTAAGTCATTTAATCCTCAGAACTACCCTTCAAAACAGATGCTATTATTATCATGAGGAACTGAAGCACAGAGAAGTCAAGTGATTTTCCCAAAGCCACAGCCATCTCTCCTGAGTCCATGCTCTTGACGGCTCTACTGAACTGACCCAAAATATACTAAACTCACAATAATGCTGCCTTGGCCAGGAAGTTTGCAGCATGACAGGATTGAGGGGAGATCAGAAAGGACTACAGCAGCATCTTTAATGTTGTATTTCTTTTTTAAGAAACAGTATGTCAATTTGTAATTTTTGAAACCATAATCATACATGAAAAAAATGGAAGTGAACTTGTCAAGACGTGAACAGTGGCTGATGTGGATGAGGGGAATATGGGTCGTTATTTTTCTTGCACTTTGATACACATTTCAATTTGAAAGAAAGAAGGAAAACCTGGTGACAGATCCCTTTCCCTCAAAGAATAGGAGGATGGACACACGATACTTGCATTAAAAAAAACAAAAACAAAAAAAACTCCAGAAGAATCCAGATGTGCAGGGACAAGTGTATTTGGCAGAGAGGTGTGAAGTGTCAGAGAGAGCTCATGGCTTGGAAATCCAGGATCCCATCATCAGCATACATTAGCTGTGTGACCTTGAATGAATAACTCAACCTCTCAGAACTACACTTCCTTCATGCAGAAAATGCAGTAATACCTCCTCCACCAGGTTGAATGGGGACCAAATCAAGGATCCTCCATGCCTGGTTTATCACATGCTGTGGTTCTTCGGACACTAGAATTCAATTTTCTATCTTCCTTCAACACTTTGAATGAGTATAACTTAACTCTGCATTTTGCCAGTCTGTTAAAAAGGGTAGAAGGGATGCTGGTCTGTACAATTTCTAGAATAACTTCTGAAATATATTTGGAAAAAACACAATACACAATAACAAGAAACCCTTCACCAATCCCAATAGAGTGACTTCTGTTTCCTCCTCTGTGAATGTGTATAATTACCACTTATTGACCATGGCAGGTGAGTTTTGAATAATGCTTTAAAAAGTTCAACCTGAGTATGTACATGCACACACACACACGCACACACACACATGCACACACACACCCCTCCCCTGGGTGCATTTTATCTAGTCTTGGTAATTTAGTTACTTGTGGTTTATTTATTAGGTTGAAAACATCCTGTTAATTTACTATTATTTAATTTATTAACTGATTAAGGCTTGACCTCTCAAGGGGAAAATTCTGACTAACTGTATAATACAAAGGCTAAAATGTTGCATAGGAGCATTTTACAGATACATTCTTCCTCCCGAACAGTTTGTCATTCAGAAAATACTCTGTCTCTCTTCTCTGGGATCATGGTTTTCTCTCATTCAGGTAGACATTCCCCTCCCCACCCCACCCCCACCTCCTTGAATAGCCAAGTTCAACATTTTTAAAAACAGGCTTTATTTTTTAGATAGATTTTAGATTTATAGAAAAATTGAGAGTATAGTATGAAAGATTTCCATATACTCTTTTTTTTTAAAGATTTTATTTATTTATTTGAGAGAGAAAATGAGAGAGAGAGAGAGAGAGCATGAGAGGGGGTTGGGTCAGAGGGAGAAGCAGACTCCCTGCTGAGCAGGGAGTCCGATGCGGGACTCGATCCCGGGACTCCAGGACCATGACCTGAGCCGAAGGCAGTTGCCTAACCAACTGAGCCACCCAGGTGCCCTCCATATACTCTGCACCCAGTTTCCCCTATTACTAGCATCTTATGTTAGTATGGAATATGTGTTATAATTAATGTATTAATACTGATGCATTTTCATAAACCAAAGACCATAATGTATTTGAATTTTTTTTTAGTTTATATCTAATATCCTTTTTCTGTACTAGGCTCCCATTCCAGACCCACATTACATTTAGATGTTATATCCCTTTAGGCTCCTCTCTTGAGTGTGACAATTCCTCAGATGCTTCTTGTTTTTGATGACCTTGATAGTTTTAAGGAATATGGGTCAGGTATTTTGTATAATGTCCCTTAATTGAGGCTTGTCTGATGTTTTTCTCATAGCTAGCCTGAGATTATGGTTTCAGAGGAAGAAGACCACAGAGGTCAAGTACCATTTTCATCAAGTCATACCAAGGGTTCATCCTACCTACATGAGTAATCACTGTTGATATTGACCTTCATCACCCGGCTGATCTACTGTTTGTTGGGTTCCCCACCCCCTTTCCATCCTGTCCTGTTTGGAAGAAAGTCACACTGTGCCACCCACACTTAAAGAGTGAGAAGTGATGTTCTTCTTTGAGTACAGACTATCTACTTAAATTATTTGGAATTCTTCTGCATGGGAGAAATGTCTCTTCTCTGTTGATTTATGTATTCAGTCACGAGATATAATTTAAGGACTTATTTATTTATTTGAGAGAGAGAGAGAGCGTGTGCGCAAAAGTGGCAGGGGGGAGTTCAGAGAGGGAGGGAGAACGAAACCCAAGCAGACTCTGCACTGAGCCCAACCTGGGGCTCCATCTCATGACCCTGAGATCAGGATGCCAGCTGAAACCAAGAGCTGGACACTTAACCGACTCTGCTACCCAGGAACCCCACGAGATATAATTTTATTAAATAAAAATTGGGGTAAAAAATTAATTGGTTCAAAAATATTCCTTCTTAAAATCTAGGAGAAAAAAAATAAACAAATAAAACCTAATTTGCTTTGCTTCTATTTAAATTTAATTTCATTCTTTATTGAACATTAAATATGTATAAAACTGGTCTGTAGAGGATATACAGATGACTGAGCTGAGGTTCCCTGCCTGAAGAAACAGGCCCAGACAGAAAATGTATATACGTAACAAGGCAGATACGTGCTGCAGTTAAAAGTAAAGTGCTTTGGGAGCACCGAGAAGATAGTAATTAATTCAGGGAGAGCTTGATAAAAGAGGTCTGAAACCAGGGCCAGCTTTCTGTGCATGCAACTAGTGCCTCTGATTCTGATTATGAATGGAGAAACAGCAGTCCAGCTAGAATGACTTCACTAAAGTCACACAGTTGGTTAATGTCAGCGTCTAAACTGAAAATCAAGTCTTCCAGTTCCAGATCCCATGTTCTTCTTGCTGCACTCAATTAGAAAATGACCCAGAAGTCCACTACACATTATCCAAGGCGGAAATGAGTACTTACCTCAAATAAGCGCAAGACTTTGGCCAGGGCACCAACTTCTTCTTTGAGTGAGAAGATCAGAGATATGGCACCATTTTGATTGGAGTTGTCTTCAATATAGCTTGTTTCCTACAAGATGAAGCGCTTTTGGTTAAAATATTTTCCTGTGAAACCTCCAAGGCAGAGGCCGGCATGAACTCTCTCTTACAGTCAAGGCTTGGAATACAATAAGCTACATATATTCTACACAGAATATAATTTCTGGTGGAAAATAAGTAAGTCAAGGGAAGTGATATTTTCAATGATGCTCATATGTCAGAATTCAATTTTAGAAAACTTCAATTATTCACTGATGTCACCAGTCATCTATAGATTCAATACCTTTTAATGAGCACCTACCAAGTGCCAGACACTATTAGGACTCTGAAATCCACAAATGAATAATCCATAAATGACTAAATGAATCAGGAGCTCAATACTTGGCTTACTAGACACATACACCATAGAAAGATCCTTAGAGATGGTACAATACAGTTCAAAAAGTATCCGGGAAAACACTGAAAAATATGGCGTGGAAAGTACTAAAAATGGGTGTTTGAGACCAATGATCTGGGTTGAAGTCCTCTGTCTCCCAGTTATCAACTGAAACACTTTGGGCGGATAGCATGGCCTTCTAAGTTTCCTTATCAGGAAAACCATGCTAATCATAGCCCTGTCAAAGCAGTATTCACATAATGAAAAAAACAAAAAGATAAAACAGCTTACATATAAAAATGATGGAAATATTATAAACACACAATAATGACTTCTTGGCCTTTGGCAAAGATCTCAGGAAAGCATCACACTCAGGAAAACATTGTCTGGTATGCTAGGATCTAAGATATCCAGTTATTGAAAGAGTCACAAAATACATAAAAGTAATACAAATAACCTATCAGAAGATGGATGTCTTATACTACACAGCAAAGTTTGACATGGATCTAGCACTTTCTACATGCACATGACAGCGAACTAAGGTGGGATTAGGTTTGGCATTACAGAGTTTGCTGCAACCTTTAAAAATTGTACAGTCAAGTTTTACAATAATATATAAAGTTCCATATGTGCCCACAAATCAACAGCATGTATCTAAAACTAGGAAGAAAAGAAACCGTGCAGAACAATTACTCTCTTGTAAGGATATTACTCTCTTGATGAAATTAGTGGAATGGATGTTACATCACCTCAGTGAGAAGGCTGTGTTGGGCGGGATCTCCCAGTGACTCAGCATAATAAGCCCTGTATGAATATTGATGACCCCTAGAATGAAATTCTTTTCATCAGAAAAGTCAGATTTTCCTGGAACCTCACCCAAATAGAGGTGGGGGTGGCAAGAACCAAAATTATAAGCAGGTGTAATTAAAGGGAGTTTCACATGAATTGGAAGACTGAACTGTTATACATCTCTAAATAGACCATGATATTATCTTTCTTGAAAAAAGTTTTTGTCTTTTTAAAAAATTCCAGTATAGTTAATCTACCACTTCTTAAGAGCCTATAATGTCCCAGGCATTATAATAAGCTCTTGATTTAGATTCTTATTTAATTTTGATACAATTTAGGAAGGAGGTTTTATTATCCACCAAGTGTCCACTTTTATTGACAGCAATGTGAAGCCTTAGAGAAGGTAAGTAATTGCCTACGTCCACGACTCACAGCTTCTTCTTGCAAGACCCTGTCCATCCTCTCCCTCTCTTAAACCCTGCCAGAGATATGCAGAGGAGTCTGACGTCAGTCCTCTTCCTCCCAGAGAACACTGAGCCCTTAGTCCTTTCTGGTTTCCTTGAAATGGCAAAAGATTTCCACTTCTGGTTCAATTGGCAACATTCTCTTCTGTTGGCCTCTAAGAAAACTAACACGTTTCAGATACACCTCGACAGACACCACCTATGACTGGGGCAATTCAGGCTTGAATGCACCCTTCCTCAAGACTCCCATCACACCACCTTCCTGCTCCTGTGCTGGTCCAAGTCCTATCTGATCTTCTCCAGAAATGACCCTCGGGGTCAGGTCCTTCTTTTGTTCCTACTGCTACCACACTAATCCAGCTCTTAGTGATCTGTATCGATCCTGCCCTAACAGAATTTTGCTTGTGTCCTTCTTCTACTCAGTATTCTTCAAAGGCTCCCCATGGCCAGCAGGATAAAATACCTCTTTCTGATATTCAGCAGTATCTTGGGACCTCATTGCCTGAGGCCCACCCACAGGAACCGCCTCTCCAGCAAACTGGCTTTCTCTTTTCTTTTCGGCTCCTCATTAAAGCAAATGCCCTGCACCTCTCTCCCTCCTCCCCTTTCACATATCTTAGCCTGCCTCAAAAGCCCTCTTTGGGTCTCACTTCTGCCAGGAGACCACTGTATTCCCCAGCTGAGGTGAACAATCCCTCCTGGTTCTATGCATTCCATTTGGCTTCTGCTGCCCAGGTGGGACTTGACTCACAGAGCTGGCCCTGTCTTTAGAGTTCATCTAGTTCCACCCCCTTATTTTGCAGATGGGAAACTATGCCAGAGAGAGAAAGGTGTGACTCCTCTGAAGCGACACAGGTGGTGGGTAGCAGGTCAATAACCCAGGCTCCTGAATATCATTCTGTATAATTCCTTCTGCTATAGGCACTATGTCCCATACTATGGCCCTTATTTCTTATAGACCCGTTATTCAGTACCACCCCTGACAGCCTATGCTTACTCACGCCTGTCCCCTTCACTTTCTCCCCATATGCTTTCTAGATCAGAGTTTTTCAATGAGTGTTCCTTGTTTCTCCCCTTCAAAATCACCTGGGGGATTCTTTGTTCCAGTGCAGATTCCTGGGCCCCACCCTAACCTAACATTTGAGTATCAGGGGTAGGATCTGAGAATCTGCATTTTCAAAAGATCCCAGATGATTCTTAGCCACAAAAGATTTTGAAACCACTGATAAATGCACAGCCTATTTTTTTTAATTATGACTTTTCCCAAATGTGTCCGCAAATTCACATTTACCATATGATAAGGTACTTCTCTTTGTCATTCTTAATATTAATAATAGGACTTGCCATTGAATGAATACCCACTATGTGCCAGGAGCCATACTTGGTGATTTTTATAGTTAATAAGCATCATCATTGGCAGCAACTAGCACTGTTATTAAGAGTTAACATGTAATTAGCTCATCCAGTCCTCACAATAGCACCATGAGGTAGGTGCTATTATTTTGCAAATGAGGAAATAGACCTTGTTAGGTTCAGTGAATTGTCCAAAGACACCCAGCTAATGAGCTTGAATTTGAACGTGGATCCAACAATTCCACAATCCTTATTCTGCCTCCCAGTGACAGACCCAACTGAGACAACAGCTCCCTTTTTCAAAACTTGAGGGATCTTAAATGAAAAGAAGCTCATGGAAGTTTGTGATACGGTGTGTGGCCTTGGGTGGATTTTGGTTCCAATCTTGCTATGTTGATCCAGCATGGGACCTTGAGCAAATCTCTCCCAGAATATATTTTTGGCTCATAATCTATACCTTATTTGTTTTCAAAAGATGTGTGAGTTGACTTAGAAACATCTATACCCAGGATGGATAAAAGTAGAGAAAAGTAGCTCAGAAACAGATAGGAAGAAATAGGGCAGGGAAAATGAACTTTACTAGCACCACCTATTTTTCTCCACAGCTCTTTTCTCTACATGAAATTATGTGTCCATTTGATTCGTTTTTGTTTTGTTTCTCTCTTCCACTAGAATATGTTTCACTGGCGCAGAAACTCTGCTGTGCCCGGCACAAAGTAGGGACACAATTAGTCTCCTGTGTGAATGAAGGACCCAAACATCTTTTGCAGGGTTGTCATGCCTGTTGTGTGTGTAGAGCACATGATATGTCACATGCTCTCCAGCCTTGTATCAGAATTATGTCGGGTGTGTGCTATTCATCTGGGTCGGGAGCTTCGAGAAGGCATAAACTATGTCTTTTTTGCAGACTGTCAGAGCTGGAAGGAATCCTAAAAACTATTCCAGTCCTATCCCCCCAATCTACCGCCACCTCAAATTTTCCAGATACAAAACTGAGCCTCTTCACCCTAGTTAGGTGACTTCCCCACTACACAGCTTCAGTAAACCAAAGACGAGAGCTCACATCTCTTGACTCCATGTCCAGCATCCCTCCGTGGTGTAGCTGTCCCCAACCACTGTGCTTTACTCAGTGCTTGTCTCTCTTGCCAATGTTGCAGACACATTTTGTCAAACAAACAAATCAGTTCTGGCTAGACCCTATGCTCCAGGAATTTTGCTAAGAGCGTTACAGAAACTGTTTCATTGAATTCTCATCCCAAGTCTAGGACATGGGTATTTTTATTCCAATTTTTCAAATGGATAAGCCTGAAGCTTTGCAAAGTTCAATACCCTGCTTTCAATGCAAAGGTATTACCCAACCTGTTCTAAACCTTTCTCTCTACCCCCAATCATCAAGAGTAACAGTCTGTGGTTCTCAGTCTTCTAACTGTTCTATAAATAAAGCTTTAAGCTCCCATGGCTCCCTAACCAGATCACTGTCCCACTTCCTCCATTGCCAATGGCACTGGAACTAAATGATGACAGAGCCAGTCTCTGTTCTGGGATCTGTTTGTTGCCCATGCTATCCCTCCTCAACAGGAAGTTCTGTCTATCAAGCACTGCATACCTTTTTCAAAGGAAGTCTTTCTTACGGGACTCAAAAAAAGTCAGTCCAAAGTTCTGTGGTTTCTCTAGTTATACTAAAACATCAACCATTCTCTCCGCTCCAGCCTGTGTGTTCTCTAGATGGCTCTCACTAATCCTGCAGATGACACATGTCTGTAAAGTCGTGTTACCTCCCAGGGCTGGGCTTTAAGTCTGAATCCTAGAACCTGGGAGTGTGAAAAGTCAATTAAAGAATGTGTCCTGCAAGTTTGCACCTCAAGAGAAAGGCAATGAATCCCAGAGAATAGAATACACCCTGAGCATTATCCCCAAGTCACATCTAGGGCTCTCTCACATTCCCAGTCCAGGGCTGTCTTGTTCATTTTCCTCTGTTTAATTTTCTCGTTCCCCAGGTATGAGTAAGTCTGAGATGTCCTCATGCCTCATTTTCTCCCAAAGGTGAAAAAAGGATAAAATTTCTTACAATTTTGCCATTTTGATAGCTAGCTGAGAGCACTTCATAAATATGACAGGAGAGCAGATCTAGAAGAATCCCCTCTCCCATTCCAGATCATTACGAACCAGCCGCTTCAGGGTAGGAAAGAGAAAACAGGCAACAGAGAGGGACAGTGACTTGTCCAAAGACACACAGCTAGTTGGGAGCAGCTCTGAAAGCCCGATCCCCACTTTCTAAAGCAGCACTCTTTCCCTGAAAGCCCCACAGGATAGATGTCCTTCCCTAGGGAACAGTTGTTGAGGACCTGTGTTATCTGTTGCCTTCCTGGACATTTTCATCACCTTCAATTAAATTCAGACTCCTCCGTGAGCTTAAGGGAGTAGGAAACAACATTCCTCAGACCCTTTACCACCAGGGACCAAGTTCCCCTCCCTGCGCAGCGTGCAGCCGGGCCAGCTCTGGCTCACCTGTGCGTAGGAGAGTTTCTCGCCAGAGCTTCCGTTCCCCAGGACCGTAGCTGACATGCTGGCTCCCTTCGTGAGTAAGGTCTCTAACTCTGGGGCGTCGGTGGCAGGCAGTTTTGCAAACAGCACGTGCTGCTGAGGTTTTTAACCTGGCGTTAGGAGGGGAGGACAGATTCCAAAGATGTCCCCTGCGAGGTACCGGCCACAGTAACGCCCCCAGTAGGCGGTAGGCGTTGTCCTGACGCAGTGGGCTCCAGGTCATCCAGCGGGGCCACCCCGAGAGGAGGGTGTGGCAGACGCCGGGAGGCCGGACTTGGCTTCAGGCCCTGGATAGAACTTGGGGCTACCTGTGCGCTGGGGATTAGGCAGGGTTGGCAAGTCCGTGATTCAAGAGCACGGGAAGCGGGTTCTTTGCAGTGCGAATAACCTGGAGATCTGCTGATGACAAAAATTGTAAGAAATAATCCTTTCTTCCCTCACCCGCCTCCCCATGGGAGCAGAGCCGGGATCCTAATTTAGATTTCGATTAGGGGTCGGGGGCAGGGTCCTTTCTATTAACCATTAAGCCAACTATCTTTTTGTGCTTTGACTTCAGAAAGCTACATAGAGGTAGCACTGTAACACTGAGCACAGCAATAAAGAGCAAAGGTAAGGGCACAACCTGGGCTGCAATGCATTCACATGTCCTTGAGCTGTTTACCTAACTGCTGAGAGCGCTCAAAAGACAGTGGTAGAGCCACCTTGCCAGGATCTTGTGAGAATACGAATAAGAATGAGGTCATGCATTAAACATTTAGTACAATTCTTGCCACATAGCTAAACAATAAATAGAAGGTACTGTTTAAAAGGATGTGACAACAAATAATCACTGAGGATCTCTACTGTGGGCCAAGCAGTATTCCAGGCACTGAGGATCAAGCAGCGAATGAAGTAGAGGATCCTGCCTCCCCTGCCAGGCTGCCATTCTGTGTGCAAGACAGAAAATAAATTAATAAATAGATGTAGTCAGAGCTAAGCCTTCAGAAGAAAATAAAACAGGGGGAGGGGCAAGGACTGAGCTGGTGGGTATTGAAGAGTGGACTCCTTCAAACAGGTAGGAAGATGTCATTCACCCCCATATTTTCAGATCAGGAATCTGAGATGAGGCATTCATTGCCAGTGGGAAAACAAAATTTAAAAAGGACACTGCTAAGTCAGAGGTTCAGAAAAGATGTGAAAAAATCGGGGCATCAAAGCCTTGAGGGCCTGCTTAATATTTACCCAGGATAGAAAACAAGCCAATAATAGAGGTTGCAAGAAATCCACCCCCTTCCCCTCCCACAGTTCTGTGACAGAGTTTCCAAGCATCTGCCAAAGGAAAAAAAAATTCTCATATTTGATATTCAAAACCAATGGACTAACTCCCGGTTCCACCACTGAGGAGCTATGTAGCTTTAGCTTTGGTCAAATCCATGCCTCAGTTTCTTAGTCTTTAAAATGGGGTTTTTAAGGATTGTTGTGGAGGATTCCTTGAGCCTCTATGATGTGCCAGGCTGCCAAGAATAGAGACATAATTAAGTGTAATTTCTGTCCAAAAGGAGTCCTTGAATGTCTGATTCATATTTTCTATGGTAAATTGGAAGATCCGTGTTGTTGAACATGGAAGAGCAAACCCTGACTTCCACCCTCAGGAGAATCTGTATCCTTTAAATGACTCCAGTGTTTTTTAGTGTGGGAGACATGAAATAAAGAGTTTTTCTGAGCCCCAGGACTGCCTGACAAGCATCATTCATCCTTTGCTATTGCAGGCATACTGAGAACAATGGATGGGACAGCACCCATACTCTAAGGGCACGCAATAAATGAAAGCAGACAATGAAGGCTACTTATTTACATGCACACTGTATGTTGGTTGCTGTGCCAAGATCTCCACACACATAATTTCATTTCTTCTGCTCAATAATCCCATGCCCAATGTATCCCCACTTCATAGATAAGGAAACTGAGACCCAGGAAGTTTAAATAAGTAGTCCAAAATTGAACTACATTTCACCCAATTCTAAGACACTGGCTCTTAAATACTCTTTTCTTCCTTTTTGAGATATAAACAACAGTGATTCTTGGAACAACAAAAATAATAGCACATCTCTTTTCTCCTCACACCAGCTAAAAATGGAATTCTTTATCCAATCTCACATACAAATGCCCCAGACCTGGGTTGGGAGTAGAGCACACTTGATTCTCAGCTACCTCAGAGAAAAACACTGATAACCTTCTTTTAAGCTCTGGAAAACAGTATGGAGGTTCCTCAAAAAGTTGAAAATAAAGCTATTGTACGACCCAGCAATTGCACTACTGGCTATTTCCTCCAAAGATACAAATGTAGTGATCTGAAGGGGTACGTGCACCCCAATGTTTATAGCAGCAATGTCCACAATAGCCAAACTATGGAAAGAGCCAAGATGTCCATCAACAGTGAATGGATAAAAAAGATGTGATACACACACACACACACACACACACACACACACACACACACAATGGAATATTATGCAGCCAACAACTTGGTGGAACTAGAGGTTTTATGCTAAGCGAAATAAGTCAATCAGAGAAAGACACATATCCTATGATCTCACTGATATGAGGAATTCTTAATCTCAGGAAACAAACTGAGGGTTGCTGGAGTGGT